AGCAAGAAGGCACACTGATTGGTGTATAGTCGCCTCGAGCAAGAAGACACACTGATTGGTGTATAGTTGCCTAGAGCAAGAAGAGGCAGAGGCAGGGGGAGAATATGAGTTGTGTGGCTAGCTGCCACCAGGCTGAGTGGGGCCCAGCAGTCCTTACTGAACCTTTTGAACAAAAATTCCAGAGAATAGTCCAGATCAAAAGGAAGGAAATGTGGACCCGAATTTCAAATTCTCAAAACGCTAGACTTTCTAAGAGCCATGCAGGGTGGATGAACCACTAACACTACTGCTCTGAAAGAATATTCAATTCTTAAACCAAAAATATCTCCTGAAGTTACCTTAAAGCTGACCAACAGCAGCTAGTAATGAAGTCTATGTTGAATATGATGCTCTATTAAGAACTATCCTCATGGGATCAAACTGAGAACAACAACTCAAAAGATCTGATAGAACCTAGGGAGCAGTGAGTTTGTGTTAATGAGGGATGGCTCAGAAAAGGAGAGTGAAAATGGTCAAACAACATGTCGAATATAATCAATGTCACTGACTTGTACATAGAGAAACCATTTAAATCGTTATGTTTTTCTGTGTATATGCTCAACATCATCAGCCAAATAAATTCTTCTAAATGAACTAAAAGAGGGAAACATGTAAAATAAAGTCTGTCTGGCCTATATAAGGTGAAAGAATTCATTATCAACAGACCTGCTCTATGGGTAAGGTGACCAGACATCCCACTTTTGGCGGGACAGTCCTGATTTTTGGTGTTTTTAAAAAGTCCCAATTTGTGAAAAGAATGCACGACAAGCTAGGGAATGGCCTATTTGGTCCATATAGACCAAATTTTTAATCAAGAACACCCCCCCACCCCCAATCAATGGTGTCCCACTTTAATTCTGGTCACCTTATCTATGGGCACATTAAAAAAGCCCATCAAGCAGAATTAAAATGATACATGGAAAACAACATCTACACAGAGGAACAGAAAGCACAAAAATGATAATTTTGTGGTCACCTGCAGAAGAATTTGGTTTTTAACATGTAAATGTCTTTAAAAGATGAAAGATGGCCTAAAGCCAAAATAGTAACATTGTATTGTGAAATCAAATAAAGACTGATAGACTACTAGGCATTAGTGGTCTAAAATGACTGGTACCGGGCCATTCTGAATCCGGCCATCCTGTGGTTTACTCTGCCAGGATGAACAAATTCAAAAGGAATGGTGTCACATTCCTCTTCAAAAAGAGCATCGCTCTAAGATCTATCTTGAAGCACAATGCTGTCTGTGATGTGATAAAAGCATATGGTCAAGAACCAGCAGTAGAAAAAAGAAGAAGTCCAAGCTGCATTGACGGCATTAGCGGAAAACAATAATCCAGGAATTGACAGAAGGCGAAGTGAAATGTCCCAACAAACTGACACAGCACTAGAAGCACTCACTAGTTTATATCAAAATCTTTGGAAGGCGGCTACCTGACCAACCAACTGGAAGAGATCCTTATTTGTGCCCATTCCAAAGAAGGTGAGCCGAGAGAATGTGGAAAATGTCACACAATAGCAATAATACCACATGCAAGTAAAATTTTGCTAAAGATACTTCAAAAATACTTGCAGCAATACTTTCACAGGAAGCTACTGAAAATTCAAGCCAGATTCAAAGGAGGATGTGGAGCCAGGGATATGACTACTGACATCCCATGGATCTTGGTTGAAAGAAAACACCACGAGAATGTAAACCACTGTGTTGAAGGTAAAGGTATCCAACTGTGTGGACCATACGAAGGAAGCTATGGATCACCTTGCGAAGGATAGGAATTCCAGAACATTTAACTGTGCTCTGACAAACCTGTACACTGACCGAGAACCAGTCTTTCAAACAGGAATAGTGTGCATCGGGGTTACCTCCTTTATCAACTTACTCAGTCTGTATGCTGAGCAGATAATGCAGGCAGCTGAACCAGATGAGGAAGAACTCGGGACGGGAGGAAGGCGCCTTCACAGCCTGCAAGATGCAGACGACAGGACATTCATGTCGAAAGTAAGAAGGATCGGGGACTTGCTAACGAAGATCATGAGGACTAAGATGTGCCTGGCCCAAGCCTTGGTGTTCCAATTGCCTGCCACGCATGTGAAAGTTGGACCCTGAACAAGGAAAACCAAAGAAGAATCGATGTGTTTGAATTGTGGAGCTGACAAAGGAGGATGGTGAGCCTTCGTCTTACATGCTTAGGACATGTTGTCAGGAGACTAGTCCCTGGAGAAGGACCTCGTGCTTGGTCACATTGAGGCACAATGCTAAAAAAGAAGACCCCGGACAAGTTGGATCGGCACAGTGGCTGCGACAATGAGCAATTGTGAGGACGGCGCAGGGCTGGGCAGTGTTTCAGTCTGTTGGGCAGAGGTTTGCTATGACTCGGAACTGAGTCCGTGGCACCTAACCAACAAAGATTGGAGCCTGTACCCTTCAGTATGGACCTACACCAGTCAATATGAAGAAAGCGAAAATCCTTAGAACCGAACCAATACACAACATCATGATAAATAAAGAAAATACAGAAATGGTCAAGAGTTTAATTTTACTTGGATCCACAATCAGCCCTCATCAAAGCAGCAATCGAGAAATCATATGACATCTTGCAATGAATGAATCTGCTGCACGAGGCCTCTTGAAAGGGTTAAAGAGCAGAGATGTCACTTTAAGGATTAAGGTCCGCTTGAGCCAAACCACGGTGCTTTCAGTTGCATCAGATGCATGTGAAAGTTGGACCATGAATGAGAAAATCCAGCAAAAGAATTGCGACATTTAAAGTACGCTGTTGGCAAAGAATAAGGAAAGTGCTGTGAAATGCCAGAAGAAAAAAATAAATAAATCTGTCTTGAAAGAAGTACAGCTAGAAGTGAGAATGGCGACACTTTATCTCATCTACGTCGGACATGGTATCAGGAAAGACCAGTCCCTAGAGAAGGAAATCATGCTTGGCAATGTAGAGAATCCGCAAAAAGCAAAAAGAAGGGGAAAATGTCAATGAGATGGGTTGACAAAGTGGCCACAACACTGAGCTCAAATACAACACTAAGGATTGTGAGGCTGGTGCAGGACCGGGCAGTGTCTCACTCTGTCGTCACAGGACCGACCGACCGCTGTGAATCCAAATGGACCTAACGACACTTACTTCACCACGGACTTCAGAACCATCGGCCTTTTGGCTCGCAGCCGAGTGCTTTAACAACTGTGCCACCAGGGCTACAGATAAACTAGGAGTGAAAACTGCGCTCCTTTAAACCATCAATTACCCAGACGCAAAGATGAGGAGGCAAGGAGAGGCAGGGAAGCTCAGTGGCTGGCCATCTAGCAGGTGAGGTGGCTGGCAATGGTCGAGAGTGTGGACACACTGCCAGGATAATAGCCAACGCCACCAAGCAGTCTGAGTATTTAAACATACCGGCATCAAAAATGTCCACGACACATACTGCGTCCAAAAATAAGCTGTAAAAGAACATGTAATCACAGCCCCATTCGTATAAACGCGTGTGTGTGTGTGTTAGTAAGTGTACAAAGAAACGCAGCCAGGGAAATACATATGGTCACCCTAACGGTTTAAGATTGCAGGAGGAATGAGGCAAGCTTTTCTTTGTACATAGCTCTATCTTGTCTGAGCTTTATATAAAAACCAGGCCTTGTTTCAAAAACCTACAAGGTAGGGGGAAATTTTTTAAAAACTAATTAGCAGGCTTATAAAAAGTATACAAGTGACCAGCAGGTACATGACAATGTTCAGTGGCATATGTCATTAGGGAAAAGTCAATCAACACCACATTGAGATGTTACTTCACCCCCACCCGAACAAGCCAGCACCTCGCTGTCATGGCGTCGATGCTGACTCATGGCGGCCCTACAGGGCAAGGCAGAACTGCCCCTGTAAGTTTCTGAGATTGACACTCTTTACAGGAAAGAAAGAAGGTCTGTCATTCTCCCGAGGAGCAGCTGACGGTTTCAAACTGATGTCCTCGCAGTTAGCAACCACTATGCCACCAGACCTCCCACCCACTAGGACGGCTATGATCAGAAAATGGAAGACAATGAATGTGGGGAAATTGAGACCCTCACCCATGGGTAGTGGGATTCTAAAATGATGCGGCTCCTGGGAAAAGCAGTTGGGCGGTTCCCCCAAACGTTAAACACTGGCACGTGAGGGATCTGGGCGCAGGGACCCGGGTAGAGACTTGTACCCTAGTGTTCATTGTGGCAACAGGACAAGATGTGGCAGACCCAGAGGAGGTAAATGCCGTCACTGCAGCACTGTCCAGTCCCAGAGAGCATGAAGTCTTGACCCATGCAATGGCATGGACACACCTGGACGTTACGAGGGAAACAAAGCAGGCACAAAAGATCAAATAGCGTGGCCTCACCGACACAACATCTCCAGAGCAGGCAGATAGGTCGGTGGCTCCCGGGGGATAGGTGGAGGAGAAAATGGCAAGGGACTGCGTAGGCAGCGCCAAGTTCCTGTGAGAGCTGTTACTCAGTGAGCTGGAAGCAGGGAGTGGTGCCAGCTGCACCACCACGTGATGAACATAAGTGATGTCAAGGTATTGCACGCATGCAACAATGGGGACAAGGCAAATGCCAGTAGGTTTCATGGACTTAATGGGAAAAGCCAATTGATTCATTTTGCTATAAGAAAAAAGGCTGGAGTCTTGTGCTCAGAGAACCATTTAGTGGTGGAGAGACAGGAGGGGCACATCCACCGGCGTCCCCTGGGCAGATCCGATTCCACACCACTCTCTCATGTGCTCACTCTCCCAGTGAGAAAGTCCGTAAGCTCCCTCAACGCGTAACGGCAGCTGTCTCACCCCCAGGTACGCTGGGGCACAAACACATCAAGGGCTTTGAAAGACCAACAGCTTTCCCTCCGATTTTCGATGGGGATGAGGAATATTCACGGTTGCAGACCAACTCTGGCGGGGTTTCTGAGGCACATTCCACAGGGTATCAGTACCTTGGATAATTCTCTGCTGCTGTTGCCGGATTTCGTTGAAACCTAAGCCTCCCGTCTCCTCTGACTCCTCCAGGAGCCAAGGGTTGGGCGCTGGGCCCTGAGCTCCCCCAGTCAGCAGGCTGGACCTACGAACAATAGTAGAGGTGTTACACATCACACACACAAAGACCTAGCTCACTTGCAAATTATTCCCACAGGTGCAGCAGTGGCCAGCCTCGCAGGCTTCGAAACGGCAATTCCACCACGATTTACTGCGTGCTTAGTTTATGCCAAAAACTGTGTCGGTGCTGGAAGAGATTCAAGAATGAACAAGGTACAAACCTGGTCCCCGAGAGGATGCTAGCCTGTTAAGAAGCCGTGGCAACAGGCATAAACTCTTACCAACCCTTACCGACACAGCTGAGTCGCTCATTATGGGAGAGGATGGTTAACTTAGGTCCTTAAATTTCAAAAAACTGAGGGATGAATGGAAGTGAGCTTTTTATTAGCACAAAATTGGCCTCACAGCCACAGGCCACCAATGGCAGCAATGTCATTTCTCGAGCAGATGCGATGTTGTGACGACAGGTCCTGGCCTCAGAAATGACGGTGTCATTTTATGTTTCCATTCAGGGGTATTTGTTTGGAAGAGACATGTGCAGGGCTTCAAATCTAATCTTTTTTTAAGACAGTGGAGCATTCAAAACATAAGCAACCATTCTGCATCGTCCATCTTAAGCGGTACTCTCTTGAGGGTCTCCCATGTCCCCTAGACCAGCTGCTGGTCTCCTTGCTGTGAGAGGAAGCAGACACAGGCGTTTGCCTGCCTCTGTGCCCACAGTACGTTTCTAAGATTCGTCTCATCTGGAGTATCTCCTTTCCTGGCCCTCTCCGTCCCGGCTGCCAGGGTCACCTTGTCCATTAAAGCAGCTCTGACCACTTCAACCCAGACATGGGCACCTCAGACACTTTGGACATAAAAATATCAATGATGATGATAATGCTGACCCCGAGTGGTGGCTACAATGGTGAGCACATAGTATTAGTCTGGGTAGACTAGCGAAACAAATCCATAGAAACTCATATGTGTATAAGAGAGTTTTATATATAAAAAGTAAGTGTACATTAAGAAAGTAACCCAACCCAGTCCAGTCCAAGCCCATAAGTCCAATATTAGTCCATATGCCCAATACCAATCTATAAAGTCCTCTTTAAATTCACAAAACACATGCAATGATGCCTAATGCAGGATGATCACAGGCCAGTGGGTAGAAAGTCTTTGGATCCAGTGGCGGTGTAAGCATCTCAGCACTGGCAGGGGTCTCCACGTGCCTTCTCCAGCACCCAGCCCTGCATCAGGGTAGGTCCATGAGGCTTCTCTTTTGGGAGGTCTTGCAGGAAGTGAGCAGAGAGACAGTCTGTCCCGCCTCCAAGGAGGTAATACTGGAGTTTCCCAGAATCCTCAGGAGAAGGCCAAGCCCACACAGAGGCCTCATTGGCTATGACCCGATTGACAGACTATAGACTCCACCCCTTCACTCTTAATCCTCTCAGGTCCCAAATTGACACCAGATTATGTAACTAGCACACACGTTGTCTTCGTCATCTTTGAGTTATATATATATATATGTACCTACTCATGTCTCAGTTGCTTTTTTCTATCCCTGTTGACATTCCTTATATAGAAATAACTGATGCCTTAGGGCCTCACTTCCCCGCCCCCCAACAGTTTTATTGGTGCATAGTTTACCTATCATGCAATTCAATATTTCAATCATATCAAGGAGAATTGTGTGATCATTACCCCATCAGTTTTAGAGCATTCCACACACCCCTACCATGTTACATCGCCTATAAGTTGTGCAATCAAAATCCATTTTGATGCTCTCTTCCCACCTCCTGTCTTCATTATTTATTCCCGAAATCCCTTTCCCTCCCTATCACCCACACCCCCCACATCTGTATTTCCTATAACCCCTTGTATCAGTTATTACCATTATGCGTCCACTCCTCCTGTGCTTCACAGCTGGGAGACCCAACACAAAACAATACAAAACAAAACCGGACTAAGGTGGTCAGGATAAAGTCATAATGGCACAAAGACCAAAATACAAATAATGTGTCAGAAGGGGAAAACCCCCATCCACATTTAAAAAGCCAAGGAAGACATTTCTGTCATGGAACCAGTACGGGATACTTGCACCCAGAACAATTTCTATAGGGTCAAGTCTATAGGGAGGCCAACTGGCCAAATATCCAGTTCGATCCAGCATAATCAAGATTACAATGGTCTCTGCCTGGTAGTGAGGCTGATCGAGACTCTTGCCTGTGGCTAGAATGGATCTGCCAGTGGCTCAGTCTGACCAGGAACTCTGCAGGTGGGTTTTGGACTCCCTCCATCCCCCATAGCCCTCCACAAATTGGGTGTTCATAGTTTTAGCTCTGATACTTTTCCCTTCGCCATCTTCATATTTTGTAATTGTCATCTTTGGATCACACAAGCTGGTGTGCTTCTTCCATGTGGACTTAGCTGACTCCTCACTTAGGTGGCTGCTTGTTTGAGTACAAGCCTGTAAGACACCAGACAGTGGGGCACCATCTGCTTTCTTCACCACGCTTTGCGGTAGCACCCTTATCTTCAGTGATCATTTCGCTCCTTTTCATGGAGCTAGTATTTAGTGCAAGCCCAAACGATTTCACTTTTTTTTTTAATTTATGGGATGTTCACTTTATATATATATGAGACAAATTTCATGACTACTAGCTAAAAGCAAGAACTGAAAGTTATCCCTGAATCACTGTGGAGTAAAGAGCTATGATTTTACACTTGAACCCTGGCTCTACTACCTGACAGCATCTCCTGAAAGGGTTTTGTGAGGCCTACACAAAAATAAGTCATTTACAACCACGAGGTGTCGAAGGGATCAGGTATAAGGCATCATCAGAACAAAAACTCTTACCATAGTGAATGATGGGGGGAGTGCAGAGTGGAGACCCAAAGC